ATCTGCCTGTCTTCTCTCCATCTATTATGTTTTTTGTTTTCTGCTCTTTAGGGCTGTAATAGAAGTCTTCCTCTTCTTTCCCAGTCTAGGGGAATTCAAGTCTTTTTTTTTTTTTTTCTTTTCTTTTCTTTTCTTTTAAATGTATTGTCATAATCACCAAAGCTGGCACTCTCTATGTAGAGATGAGTTTTCCCTATAATAGTAATGGGCTTTTTCGGGGTCAATAGAATGTTGGTATGTGCTTGCTTGGATGTTGGGATGGTTTGGTGAAATTTCCTCCATGAAAGATGCAGTGGTGAACGGACAGTAAACAGGTATTTGAGTGATCTGGCACCAGAGCACCTTGTTACACAACTCCAGGGGGCGCCATTTACAAAGTCAGCCTCATTAGTAGAACAGTGGCAGAGCATTTCTCAGGTGCATTTTGGAGGTAAATGTTGCCTTATAGTTGGATGAGCAGTGCTCTCCATGTGCCCCTTTTTGGGCTGACCTATTTGTCAGAAGCCTGTAAGACACAAATATTGTCTTGACCCAGGACCAGCTGTGGTTCTGACCTTCAGCTTCTCTTAAGAACCAAAGCAGAGCAATAGACTGGGTATCCAGGTAAGTGGAGGGGACTTTTATTTATTTTCCCTTGGAAATTCTGGCCTCTTTACTCAGACTCCATCATTCTAAAATCAGTTATTTTGGTAGCCAAGTGAGGTTTCACAGGATGAGAACAGAATATGACCTGAACTGCATGTCATTTTGTTGTTTTCAAAAACTTCATATTGAAAACATTTATTGAGAACTACCTGAAAAATGTGTAGTTCATTCCTGGAATTATTTGAATTTTAATTTCTGGATTAAGCCACAACATCAGAGAGTGTGTACTTCAGTTATATGGTTTTGGTCCTTTGTAGAACCTCTTTCCTTAATTTGCTCTTTGGTGCCTGGGTTCAGATCCTTGCTCTGCTATTTACTGTTTGACTCTGTGTCTGTAATTTTCTCATTTGAAAATCGGGGTTACAGTGCCTATCATAGAATTGTTGTGGGGAGTAAATGATACAAGAGTTGCAAAGTGCTTACAACACTGCCTTGAACACAGTCACACTTAATGAATGTTAATGGTGATGATGGTGATATTGTCCATAGCATTTTTTTTAAGACAGGGTCTCGCTCTGTTGCCCAGGCTAGAGTGCAATGATGTGATCATAGCTCACTGCAACCTCAAACTCCTGGGCTCAATCAATCCTCCTCCCTCTGTCTCCTGAGTAGCTGGGACTACAAGCACACACTACCACATTTGCTAATTTTTCTATTTTTTGTAGAGATGGGGTCTCACTATGTTGCTTAGGCTGGTCTTGACCTCCTGGCCTCAAGTGATCTTTCTGTCTTGGCCTCCCAAAGTGCTGGAATTATAGACATGAGCCACTGCACCCAGCCCCATCACATCATTTTGTATGCCCTCTTTTTAAAAACTTACAGGAATACCCTCAAACTCTGCTTCACCTGAGCCACTTGTAGGACAATATGAATGGATGTAATCTTTTTGTGGGGAGGCAGGGACCTTTTTCACAGAAATCCTGTATGAGGACATTCTAATTTTCAGACTCTCAGTTCCTCCCTTCTAAGTTTTCACATCCATAATGCATTTACTTCCTTAATTCTTTAGGAGGAAATTATATATTAGACCTTCCTTTCTTTTACTTTCATACCTAATACTCTACTGCATTCCCACTGTCCATCACCACTCTTATCTCTTGTCTATTTCATTTCTCTCAGGTAGAAGTTTAGACAGATAAGGGTTGTGAGTTAAGGTTTGAGTCTCTAGCATGGTTTTCAAAATCTGTATGTATAGAGCCCACTGTTGTTAAATCAATAAAAAAAAAAATGGTTTTTGGGGGAAGGGGCCCATGTTAGTTGTAAGATACAAATGAAGAAAATGTGATCATTGCCTCCCAAAAAGCTTGGCAAGGTTGGATCTCCTTAAACTGTGATCTGATTGTTTCTTGATTCTGTTGCCTGAGGATGACCTGAGACTACTTTATAAAGCTAGGACTGGAAGGACCAAGTTAGCACCTATGTCAGAGACTGGTTAGTTTGACTGTGTTTTAGAACTCAGAGAACAGAATTTGCCTGTGCTTGGTCCTTAGTCATTTAATAGCCTTATTTGTGTGAAGCTGTTGTAGTCACAGATCTGGTGCATTCTACTCTTTTGCTACTTATTGAGAAAAAGTAGGCTGAAATTTAGTTCTTCCCTTTATAGGTTTTATGAAAATTGAGGGTGCTATTTAGTAGAGCAAAAAGTGTGATGAGCCTTCTAGAGAAGGATAAGGAACAGACATACGTTTAGAGCAATTTTCAATTTTGATTCCTTTATTGAAGGTCTTTCCTAATTTCCTTAGTCACTACCTGAAACCCAGTTTCTGTGCCCAGCCTACCCTCTAGCTCTTCGTGTCTCTGATATCTGTCTCCAGCATATCCTCAGTGGGTCTGAGTTGGCTCTGTGTCACAGGTCTTCCCCACCTGAAGCTTGGTTGCTCTTGTCTCAGAGTAGCAGCATGGTAGTTATGTTATTTCCTGCTATTCCTCATTTTCCCATTGCAGCAGTCTTATACTCTCTCCTCACTTGGCCTTCTGCGGGGCTGGATCTTTCCTAGTTCAGGATTCTGGGAAGCAACTCTTGACCAACGTACTGCCAGTTAAACCTTGCTATGAGAAGTGATCAGAGTGTGACAGTCAGTGGTGGGATACCTGCACTCTGTACCCATGTATGTCATGACAATGTGATTCTGAGAGATTGCTTTTCTTCTTATTCATTCCTCACTCACAAAGTTTTAAGCTTAATTATCATCCAGAAGAACTGGAACTCTTGGAAGCACAGTGTTTGAGAAATACAAAGCAAGAGTCTAGTACTGTGTACGTGTTCTGGTCTGCCATTGTCCCTGTTCTGAATCCCTGTGGAAATCTAGCCTACTATTGTAGGTACCAGAACTCTTTTTTCATTTGTTTGTTGAAACACAATCTTGCTCTGTTGCCTGAGCTGGAGTACAGTGGCATCATCACAGCTCACTGCAGCTTCAAACTCCTGGCTCTAGCGATCCTGCTCCCTCAACCTCCAGAGTAGCTGGCGCTACTGGCATGAGCCATGATGCCCAGCTTATTTTTCTCTTTTTTGTAGAGATGGGATCTCACTCTTGCTCAGGCTGGTCTCCAACTCCTGGCCTCAAGTGATCTGTCCACCTCAGCCTTCCAAAGTGCTAGGATTACAGATGTGACAGAACTCTTTTTCAAACTGGTAATTCCTTGTTCTCACTGCTCAGCGCAGTGTGTGTGGTACCCCATTCAGCACCATGGATATTCTTAGACCTTGGTGGGATCAGTGGGGCATGGTCCCCAGATATCAGCTGGTACTCAAAAAAAAAAAAATCTAGATTTTGATTCCTACTGATTTCATTTTTTAAATTACCTTAGGTGTTTCGTATTCTGGGCTGGAACCATTTCAAGCTGCATAGAACTGTAGATACGTTGATTGGAACTCTTGAAAGTTTTTCAAGGAAGATGGATTTGAAGGATGAGGGAAAAGAGGACCAGTGATAGGTACCCTGGCTATTTTCAAGCCTGTCAGTGATATGCTTTGTGTGACCTTGGACACACGCCTTCCCCTCTCATGACCTCAGTTTCTCTACTTGTCAATAAAGAAAAGTAATACCGATTCTTTTTCTTTGGGGCATGGAAAACATTCTGTGGGTAAATGAGATTATGTACAAGTTCTTTCACAAGCATTGCGTAGGCTAGCCTGTGTTGACTAGGGATACACAGTGCTACATGGCTCTGAACAAGAGGGCTAACATGCTGGACACTAAGGTCTTGCCTGCCAGTTCCCAGCCATGTGACCAGGTGCCAAAGAGGAGACAAGGAAGCACTCAACTCACCTTCTCCATTGCTAAGCTTTTTCAGATTTATTCCTGAGCGTGATGTGGTCTCATTCTTTCTTCAGGTAGAATGGAAGAATCTCACTTCAATTCTAACCCGTACTTCTGGCCTTCTATCCCCACAGTCTCAGGACAGGTAGGTCGTGTTCCTTTTTTGCTGTCCCTCATTGTTTACTTTTTTCAACTCTGAGTAATAAGTGCTATTACTGAGTAGTAAATTCTATTACTGTGGAAACTGAAGCAAGAGAAACCACATGATGTTTCACTGGGTCCCCTATCACTGAGAATTATATAGTGTTTCTGTCTTGGCTTCTCTCTGAAAGCCCAAAGTTGATCTCCATAGAGAAAGTCAGACACTGAAAATTGCTTAGGAACTGAAAGAATCAAACTCTCTCAATCTGAAGAGGGCACTCCCCTTCCGCTTCCGTTTGTTGTAGATTGAGAATACAATGTTCATCAACAAGATGAAGGATCAGCTGTTGCCAGAGAAGGGCTGTGGGCTGGCGCCACCTCACTACCCCACCTTGCTGACAGTGCCTGCCTCAGTGTCCCTGCCCTCAGGCATCAGTATGGACACAGAATCCAAATCAGACCAGCTGACCCCACACAGCCAGGCTTCCGTCACCCAGAATATCACGGTGGTCCCTGTGCCATCAACAGGACTGATGACTGCTGGTGAGCAACTCTGCACTTCCCCAATCTGAGGTGTTGATCTTCCATGATCAGTACCCCAGGCTGGAGGGTTTCAAGAACATGGGGAGTGGGTTATGTGTTTGATTACTCAATCAAATTTTTATTAAGTGCTTACTGTGTGCCTAGCAATGTGCTAGGCATTGTGGGGGATACAAAGAAGTAGAAGATGCGGTCCCTGCCTTTGAGGAGGTGACATTCTTTCCTTCTCTGAATCAAGGAGTCTCCTGTTCTCAGAGGTGGAGAAGAGAAGGGAGTCAATCAAGGGGTAAATCTCACTGTTACCAGGGGGGTGGGGACAGGGGTTAGGAGACCATTATTTTTTTATAGGGTTTGGGGTTTCCTGTATATTCCGGGTTGGGGGTTGGTGGTGAGGGGTTAATTAGATGATCTGGGTGGGGTGGAATGAAATGAAATAGGATTAGGATCAGGACTGAACAACATGACACCATCTCCTTTTTCTCCCAATCCTAGGTCCAGGTTTGGTAATCACGTCCCCCTCAGGCTCTCTTGTGACCACAGCCTCATCAGCTCAGACCTTCCCCATTTCGGCTCCCATGATTGTCTCAGCTCTTCCCCCTGGCTCACAAGCCCTGCAGGTGGTCCCTGACCTCTCCAAGAAGGTAGCATCGACCCTAACAGAGGAAGGAGGCGGAGGTGGTGGTGGAGGTGGCAGTGTGGCTCCTAAACCCCCGCGGGGTCGAAAGAAGAAGCGGATGCTGGAGTCAGGGCTGCCTGAGATGAATGATCCGTATGTCCTCTCCCCTGAGGATGACGATGACCATCAAAAAGACAGCAAGACCTACAGGTAAGACTCAGAGCCAGGGGCAGGATGGGGTGAGGATCACTGTCTCGGCTCCCCTGCCCTCTTGGTATCCTGCCCCAGTCAGGCGCTATACTCTTGACAGCTTCCTACCTCAGAGGCGCTTGCATGTGAGGTCTTCTGTCATGGGGCAGCAAGGCAGAGCTGCTGGCCCTCCTCCAGTGCCTCTTCCCTCGGGATGCAGACCCACTGCACCCCTTCCTTTTTTTAACCCTAATTTTGGGGGTCATCAGCATTAACTTATTTTTGCATGACAGAGTAGAGTTTTTCTCTTATAATAAGGCTTTGGATTGGGTTTGAGACTCTGTCTGCAGCTCCTTTTTACTTTGTACATTTTCCATTCCTATTTTTCCAAGAAACCTTTCTGGTAAGCACCTAACCAAAGCTGTGTGCCATCCACCAGTTCTTGGGCCATATTTGAGCACTGAGCCTGCCTGACCCTGCATGGTTGGGATGATGGGAGGGGCCTACGTAAGAAGGTGGGAGGAATAGGACACCTCCTCCTTTGGAATATATGCTTACAGAATGACTGCTCACTTTCTAATTCATGAAAGTCATTTTGATCCTCCACTTCCTCTCAGTTGCCCATTACCAAAAAGCATTATGTGCATATTTGCATGTGATACTGTACAAAAATAATTAGCATAAATAAACTCCTTGCCCTTTCAGAGTTGAACATCTTTTAATCCCCTTGAAAGCTGTCAAGTGCCCTAGGGGGTTTGGGGAGTTTGGTCCCAGTGTACAGAGTGGGATAACCACTCACAGCTTTATTGCAGACAGGGGCAGATGTGCATGGCTGGGAGACTGGGTCTGTCCTTAGTGTACCGAGATGGGCAATGTTGTTCCCATTTTAGGAGCGAAGGGAACTGCGGCACAGGAAATGGACAGAGCCTTGGGCTCATGGATTCAGTTCCCGGCTCCACCACGAACTTGCTGTGTGACCCTGGGCAAGTCCTTTTCCCCTCTCTGGGCCTCAGTTTCCTCATCTGTAAAATGGGGAGAATTCTGTTTATGCCTCCCATTTGTTGGGAGTATATATCAGATAAAGATTTGAAATGTTGAGAACCTGAAAAGAAAGATAAGAAATAGTCATGAGTTAGCATTTATTTGTATTTGTGTTGTACATTTCTGTTGTGGAAAGTAGCCATGAGTGTTTAGACCCTTTATAAGTGAAAATGAGGAGAGTGTTGCTATGCAGAAAGTGTTGAGCACTGCACAATTCCAGCTCATAATCTGAAAGTTCATTGGAGCTTTATTATTACAGGTGTATCCCACTTTATACAATAAAAGTGTTCCTGGAAAATGTTTACATCATATCATATTATAAAGGTATCTGACAAGTTTGATTCATTTAAAGATATTCTTTTATATATCATTTCATAAAATGAAAATCCCTTTAAAATTGATTTTGTGGAAATCTGGATTTTTGTATGTTTGTTTAAAGTGAGGTCATTGTGACATGGAGATACATCTATATAAGAGATACATCTATATAAAATTCATTGCTGTCGTAGTAGGAGTATCCTCTGTCACCCTGTGGAGCCCTTCTGGTGGGTCAGGGTCCTCTCAGGGTCCTCTCATTCTGCCAAGTTTCTGTACTTGTTTGTGTTTTGGACCCACATTAAAGCTTATCTCTGGACTTCCCAAACTGTGTATATTAAAAGAAATGCAAATATACATGTGGAAGAAAGCCCGGTAGGACCTGGCACACGCTCAGTGTTTTTGGAATTCTTGAAAGACCCCTTACCCAGGTAACTAAAGAGAACTCTGAAATTTAAGGGTGATTAGTTGTATTCTAGGTGAACAGAATTTCTTCAGAAACTCAGAACTCTGAAGTTCCAAAGGAATCTTTTTAGTCACAGTGAATCCCTATTTTGATGTGTGTGTGGGTCAGCCATATCCATTCCAGTGGGCAATAGGATTTGAACTGGGTATTCGGGGAATTGGGTTCTGTTATTCTGAGCAAATCAACTTATCTCTTAACTCTTTGTTCTCATCTATAAAATGGGATGACCAGTCACACCCTCACCTACTTGTGGAAATGGTTTGAGGGAAAATCAGAGTATTTGAAATTGTTTTGAACATCTTAGGAAAAAAATGGGATGATAATTCAAAGTGGTCATTGTAATCAAGGCTGTTGCATTGCACACTTCCAAGGGGTACCATTCTCATTGTGTTGGATGTGAGTGGTGCCCCCTGGAGTAATGCATCTGTAATAAGGGGTGTTGATTTTTCTGTCCCCTACTAACTGCCCACTGCCACAATTCCCTTAAATTAAATTTCTTCCCCACCACCCAACATCTTACATTAGAGGACTTTACTCTTACTTGGCTTCATAGGATTTTCAGGTTGGAAGTACTTTAATGGTCACCTAGGTCAGTCCCTTCACCTGGCAGGTGACTGTCCATCCTCTGCTCGAATACCTCCAGTGTCAGGAATTTTAAAGTAGGTTAGCATTATGGGTTTATAGTGAATAACTGCCCCTTAGCAAATTACTTTCCGAGCTTTTGTGTTCCTTCCTATAAAACAGGGATAATACTTGCCAGGTTGTTGTGAGAAGTAGAAAAAAATGTGTTTAAAGTGCCTAACCAAGAGCCTGGCACTATCAGGCACAACAACAAATGGCAACTGTTATTATTATTATTATTATTATTATTATACTGTCTTTTTGTGTGTGTTAGGGTCTCGCTATATTGCCCAAGCTGGTCTCTAACGCCTAGCCTGTGTTGCCCAGGCTGATCTCTAACTCCTGGCCTCAAGTGATCCTCCCGCCTTGGCCTCCCAAAGTGCTGGGATTATAGGCATGAGCCATTATTATACCCATCATTATTATACTGTCTTCTGAGACAGCTCATTCTATTGCCAGCCACTATTAATGGATTTAAGTTTTGTATATTCTTATCTAATTGGAAACATTGACGAAGAGGATTATTTTCTTTTTTATAACTAACTTTCATGTTAAGGGCACAGTTGTGTGTTGAACACTCTCACACACAAACTAATGATATTTTATTTTTGTTAAACATGTTGTTCTACCAATCTGAGAAATTTTAGCAATCGAGAGATTAGTTTGCAACTTAATACAGTTTTTCCTTAGAGTGACAGTGTGTCCAGTTTGTAACCTCAATCTTAGTGAAACGTTCAGTAGCATGAACTCATCCATTAGCACTGAGGCTGTTAATATTAATACAGTTTTACTACTAGATAACACTTGACTTACCTTTGACTGTCCTGGGTGTTTGCTGGCCTTTCTAGGGGCAAAAATTCATCTCTCCATTTTACAGACCAGAAAATTGAGGTCTAGATTAATGAGCAGGCCTATAACTGAACTCTGAGTAGAGCGCGGTGTCCACACTCCCATTGGCTGTGTCCTTTTGATTATGCTAACTATAAACAGAACTTCCCTTCTCTTGTGCAGTGATTAGGTATCTCAGATAACATCCAGGGATGGTTAACTTCAGAGTTACCAAGTGACTAGAGAAATGGAAATTATTAATGATTGGAATTTTAGTAAAAGCATTAATATAGGGACCATACCCCAACTAACAATGATACTGTTTTCTCTGAGGAACTCAGTGTTCTTTTTAGTCTTTATCTCAAGTTATTCTCTAAAAAATTCTCCCAAGATGAAAAAAGTATGGAAACAATCACCCCACATCATACTAAGCCCCTCTTACAAAGATAAGTTAGGGAGAACCCAAAGAAGAGGGACCTTCCCTAGTATCCTGGCTTCCAGCCCATTGCCCTTCCTACTAGCTCACATCGTGCACTGGTGAGTTGTTTATGAAAATGGCAGGGTTCCAGCTCAGATTCAGGTAGCTTTTACCCGATAAAGTCCGAATAGTTGTGGCTTAACTTGCACAGAGGCTTCCTTCTTTGATATGTAGAACAGTGTCCGAGCGGGAAGGATTTCCATTACCAACTCAGGTGATGAAAGTACATTCAAATGCTATAGATGCCAACCCAGAGTGCTGACATCGGCTCCATGTGCTAGGAGAGCGGAAAGGTTTAGTGTGGAAGATAGGTGTTTTGCAAACCTTTTTCTCTCAAATACTTGAGGGATACAACCCACCACCAACAGTTACCTTGGCTCATTGCAAAAGTGGTTCTCATTTGATTGCCAAGGAGTGGGGGGGGGGTGCGGAAAAGCCCCTCCAAGTAATTGTGGTACTTCCCCACTCCCATCCCTCTGGGAATTACTGCCAAAAAGGAAGTAGGCACTAGTCCGATGGTAGTGGGTTGTCAGAACTTATTAACATTAGTGTCACTAAAGCTGACACATAACCCCCCACTGCTAAGTTTGATCGGCTAATAAAAAACAAAAACAAAAAGGTCGTAGGGGAAAATCTGAGGAAGAAAATTATCCGTGGAGACAGGAGAGAAACCAGTCAGTTCCTCACTGTCAGTGAAGTCTCATCTGTATTTACAGCTGCTCGCCATTGCTCCCATCACTGCCTGGGCTCTGCCTCTTGCCCCTGTCCCCCAACAGTCCATGGAAAATTTGTCTTCCATGAAACCTGTCCCTGGTGCCAAAAAGGTTGGGGACCACCGTTCTACAGGGCTTGAGAAATGCCAACGGATGTACTTTATATTTGGAAAAATTAGGGAAAGGAGTTCCTTGACAGTTTGAAATCAAGTCAGAGGCAGAAGGAAAACAAAAATTAAACGATATTCCTGGCCCAGTGAAAATCACATCTGCCCAGAGCCCACAAAATTTTCCTTCCATATCTGGTTGAATTCCTGTTTTTGCACACTTAGGAAGTCCAGTCATTCAGCAAACATTTATTGAATATTTATAATGTGCTGGGCATTGTGGTAGAAGTTTAGGATATAAAGATGAATAAAATAGAGCTCCTGCTCTCAAGTTGGAATAGGAGAGAGATCAGATGGGTGGGCTTCTCTTAGAAGTAGAAGGGCGCGTTCAGCCATGCCTTCTTGGTGGGAAAGGTTCTAACCGCTGCCCTCACTTGGCCCAGGTGCCGGATGTGCTCACTGACATTCTACTCAAAGTCGGAGATGCAGATCCACTCCAAGTCACACACCGAGACCAAGCCCCACAAGTGCCCACATTGTTCCAAGACCTTCGCCAACAGCTCCTACCTGGCCCAGCACATCCGTATACACTCAGGGGCTAAGCCCTACAGTTGTAACTTCTGTGAGAAATCCTTCCGCCAGCTCTCCCACCTTCAGCAGCACACCCGGTAAGGCTGCTCTCAGTTTCCCCCAACTACCTGGCCGCGAACCCCAAGGCCACGTTGCTTGCACCTACTCCTCTCTCCACATGTATTGTTTTTTCCCTTTCACCTTTGTGCTTTGATAGCCTCAATTCTCTGCTGTTATTGTATGTGGAAATTAATTGTATATCCTAGCGATTGGGAGGGCCTCAGAAACTGTGGTCTTCAATCCCAAAGTTTGGAACAATTCTTGTGGTTTCTCTCTGTGTCTGTGTTTGGAAATCTTCTGCAGAGCAGGCCCTGCTTTTACTATATGCTTCAGTTCAGAGCCAAGGTGTGCTTTCAACTTCAGGTCCATGGGGAACAGGCGGTATTGGTCTTTGTTCAAATTACTATTTGGAAGCAGGGTATCTGTGGTGAGTGCATAACCTTAGGAAAAAGCAGAGGGTTGACGAGACTGACTAAGGTCACCAGGAGCCATGGGTTGCAGCTCTTCATCATCTCACTGCCATTCTAGCCACCGACTTACGATCAACAACAACCTAGATCTGGGTATCCTCTTCATTAGCCTATCCAGGCTGGAGTGTGTTTGGGAGGAGGGAGGAGGGGGTGCTCTCTCATCCGTCAAGCCAACATCATTTCACCCAGCAGAGAGCTGAGCCCCTGGTGTCGAACTGCTCCCTCCTCCCCCCTTCCCTCCTCTCCTCTCCGGCAGGATTCACTCCAAGATGCACACGGAGACCATCAAGCCCCACAAGTGCCCGCACTGCTCCAAGACCTTCGCCAACACCTCCTACCTGGCCCAGCACCTCCGTATCCACTCGGGGGCCAAGCCCTACAACTGTTCCTACTGCCAGAAGGCCTTCCGCCAGCTCTCCCACCTCCAGCAGCACACACGGTAAGGGAGAGTGGCGGGCTACTGACCCTGCCCCGCTGGCATGCCCTCCCCACCCCCGCCCCGGACACACAAAACAACCCGCATGCGGGGGGCGGGGGAGAGACCTGGCTGGAGGAGAACATGGCTGGAGGAGAACATGGCTGGAGGAGAACATGGCTGGCGTCTGGGAGAAAGAAGACCAAGCAACAACATTGGAGACACAAGTGGACGCTAAGAAAGCCTTTCTGGGGCAAGAGCTGCATCAGGGAGATAAAATGACTGATATTCCCTGATCCATGGGAGGCAGAGGTGTACTTGGAGTAGAGACAACTTTTCTTTCCCTCATTTCCCTCCCTGAAGATACCCATGCAAACATCTTGCAAGATTTTCTCCTTGATGCCAAACCAGAGGCATTTGATAAGAGAAGACCGTACCTCTAGCCCTTAGCTCACCGATTACGAGCAAGAGATATAATCAGACATTAGCTGGGCACCAGCCTGATGACACCCACAGCAACAAGCAACGCTCCAAGGGATGCCAGGAATGGAGAACAAAACAAAACGTACTAAATATTCACAGAGAACTAGCAAAGAAAATGAAACGCTCATACTTCATAAGGATGCCCACTGTTTATCCTGTGAATCTGGAGTGACTGGGAGGAAGTGAACCTGCCAACTAGAGGAGTGATCATCTCCTTCCTGTGGTATCTCAAGTTGGACTAGAGTTCAGACATGCTGGCATAGGCCATCTCACCCAGCTTGTGGATGTGATGTTCCCACCTTAAAGTGATCTGACATCTTGCTTTGAGAAGAGGAGGAGTCAGGCTTTCTTCACAAAGAAGAGACATGTCCTGTAATGTTCTCAGGATTTTATACCAGGGATCCAGAAAAGTACCTCGTCACAGAGATGGTTCTGAACTCCCTGATGAGGAGCAGGTGTCAGTGTACCCTCAAGTCCTTGGCCCATCTTAGCAGAGGGCCCTGTAGTGTTGCAGGAAGAGTTCAAATTGGTACTAGGCATTTCCTGCCATTAGGGGGCTGGACTGGGAAAAGCCCCTAGGAGTTTCTGTGCATTTCCATTAATAATCACTGCTACTCCCCACAATTAGTGTGACTGCTTTTCTGTGATACTATAACTTTCTCTGGAGGTAATACACAAGGCTGAGGGATAGTTTCTGGCTGTAGGGTGAGGCCAAGGAGGAAGTATGTTTTTCTTTTTCCTTGCCATTGTGTCTACTTTATGCTTTTGAATGTTGATTAGGATAGTTACTGTAGGAGCTGACTTGTATGCCAAATTGTGAACTGCCTGTGCCTTGGGTGCTGAGGCCTCAGTCCTTCCTCCCCAGCAGAGAGGAGGCTTAGCTTGAGCTGAGTGATGCACGCGGTGACTATATCATAAGGCATTACAACCTGATCCATGTCAGAGAGGAACCAAGGCTGGTGCCTCCTGGAGGCCCATCTGATGTGCTTGCTTAGGAGGGCAGGATTGGCCTTGAAGTTTGTTAAGTAGCCAAACCCCAAGTGGCCTTGCTGATGTCCTTTCCCTTTCTTCTCTTCTAATCCCATGCAGAATCCACACTGGTGATAGACCATACAAATGTGCACACCCAGGCTGTGAGAAAGCCTTCACCCAACTCTCCAATCTGCAGGTAAATGTTCTACCCTCCACATAAGAATTTGAGTGTGAAACTTGGGATCAAGGTGCCATTTGACTAGTATAGTGATTATCAGACTTTTTCAGGACTCCTCTACACTCTTAAAAAAGGGGCCTGGCATGGTGGCTCACTCCTGTAATCCTAGCACTTTGGGAGGTAGAGGCAGGAGGCTTGCTTGAGGTCAGGAGTTCAAGACCAGCCTGAACAAGAGTGAGACCCCATCTCTACAAAAATAGAAAAATTAGCTGGGTGTGGTGGCACATGCCTATGGTCCCAGCTACATGGGAGGCTGAGGCAGGAGGATCACTTGAATCCAGGAGTTTGAGGTTGCTGTGAGCTATGATGATGATGCCACTGCACTCTGGGCAACAGAGTGAAACCCTGTCTCTAAGGTAAAAACATAAGATAAAAAATAATCAATCAATCAATCAATAAAAATAAATGATTAAAGAACCTGAAGAGTTTTTGTTTATATGGGTAGTGTCTATCTACATAGATATTATGGAACTGAGAAACTGAAAAACATTTAGTAATTTGTTTAGAAAGAACAACAAGAAACCCCTTGCATGTTAACATAAGTTACATATTCTAAACCCTTCGGAAAAAACTTAATGAAAGGAGTGTCATTGTATTATGTTTTTGCAAGCGTCTTAAATGTCTGGCTTAACAGAATAAGAGTAGACTCTCATTGCTGCATATGGTCTATTGCATTATCACATGTCATGTGCAATCATGAGAGGACGAGAGTGAAAAAGGCAAACACTGTCTTTTTTTCGTATGTTATATGTATTATATATTCTTACAGTAAGCTAGAGAAAAGAAAATGTAATTTAGAAAATCATAAGGAGAAAATATATTTACTATTCATTAAATGGAAGAGGATCATCTGCTGTCCTTAACAGCAGAGTTAGAATCCAGGCTGCTAGTTACAAGTAATCTCTTTTCATGTTGAATAGGCTGAGGAGGAGGAGGAAGAGGAGGGCTTGGTCTGTCTGTCTCAGGGGTGGCAGAGGCAGAAGAAAATCCATGTATAAGTGAACCCATGCAGTTCAAACCCATGGCAAACACTGTCTCATTTCAAAAGAGTTTTGACCTCATGGGACCCCTAAAAATGTCTTAATGTTTTCTAGAGATGCCCATGCCTTACTTTAAGAGTCACTGGACTATACTATCTGCCTGGAGATAGCAAAAAACAAAACAGAGCAAAAAAAACGCTGGACTAGTGAGACCATAAGAGGTCATTTTAATTTCAGGATCTTGGTATGCGCTGTGTGAGGTATACTTCCTCCCTTAGCTTCTAGCTTCTGAAGTTCCATTCGAAGCAACTTCTGTTGCCTTCAGGTGGAGAGAGAAGCTGGGAAACCTGGCACCTCAGGGCTTTCCATAACAGTCAAGGGGGCAGGTGGGCAGAGTACAATGCACTCATCCTGGTTTCTCCCAATTTGCTCAGTCCCACAGACGGCAACACAACAAAGATAAACCCTTCAAGTGCCACAACTGTCATCGGGCGTACACAGATGGAGCCTCACTAGAGGTGCACCTATCTACGCATACGGTGAAGCATGCCAAGGTGTACACCTGCACTATCTGCAGTCGGGCATATACGTCGGTGAGTGCTCAGTTTCTTCTCTTTCCTTCCCGGTAGTCCTGTAAGACTATAATCCACTTTACCCCATCTTTCTGAATAAAGATCTGTTGCAGTGAATACCCTGCCTCCCTAATTCCAACTCACGAGAACCAGTAAAGATTCAGAAATTAATTAGACCCATAGCTGAGAAATTTATGGTGCCTAAGCCCTATAGAGATTGATAAACGATGATTCTTCATTCTACTTAAACACAAAATAAAGCCACTTGAAATTTCGAGGGGAGCAAGATTGCAGTTAGGTGTTTTCCATTAGACTTCAGAAGAGATTGTAAAGTCCCACTCAGAGATCTTTGAGAAAAACGGCAGCTTATCCCTTTGCCTGTTGAATGTTCACAGTGACTTCTAAAGGTCCCCCTGTCCTTTCTACCCAGGAGTGAGCACTGAAAGTGCTACTTGATTTGTGCTTACTCCTGGCTCCAGGATATCTCTGTATAACATTGCTGTCCTTACAGTAGAGTTAGAACCCAGGCTGCTAGTTAAAAGTAATCTCTTTTCCTAACCTTTCTTCCTTCAACTTCTTTTTACCATCTCCCTCAGGAAACATACCTTATGAAACATATGCGCAAACACAACCCTCCTGATCTCCAGCAGCAAGTGCAGGCAGCAGCAGCAGCGGCAGCAGTGGCCCAGGCTCAAGCTCAAGCTCAGGCGCAGGCGCAGGCCCAGGCTCAGGCACAGGCCCAAGCCCAAGCCCAAGCCCAGGCCCAGGCCCAGGCCTCCCAGGCATCGCAGCAGCAACAGCAGCAGCAGCAGCAGCAGCAGCCACCACACTTCCAGTCTCCTGGGGCAGCCCCCCAGGGTGGAGGGGGTGGGGACAGCAACCCCAACCCTCCACCTCAGTGTTCCTTTGACCTGACCCCCTATAAGACGGCGGAGCATCATAAGGACATCTGCCTCACTGTCACCACCAGCACCATCCAGGTGGAGCACCTGGCCAGCTCTTAGAGATCCGTGCTGCCACCCACTGGGAAGAGGAGAAAGAAGTTCTGGTCCCTCCTTTCTCCAACTCTTGGTGGGAAAAGTCCTCTTCCTTGACAAGCCTTGGCTCCATTTCCGTGAGCCTCAGGCATGGATACCATCCTTCTCAACTCCTCTTCAAAGGAACCTCAGCCCTCCTGATTGGCAAAGGAATACTGAGCTGATGGTGTCATCCAGCAGCCTCCCCTCCCAAGCAGAGCTTTTAAAATCAGGGGTTGGTGCTCAAGGGAAGGATTTGCTATGACCTCATAGAAACTTGTCCAATGTGGACACTTACCCTATCCTTAACCTCCACATCCTCAAAGTTTGGGCTGATAGAAGACTAGAGGCTGGCCCTCCCAGATTACAGAAAAAGGGGGTCCTAAATGCAACCAGCCTTCTGTTCTGTTCTTGCCTGCAAAAGAACAGAGGTTTCTAATGTGCTCCAACCCCTGAGAGCCATTTTATTCTTCTACGTGGTCTCAATTCACTTCCTGCCTACTGCTGGTAGAAGATTTGGGTAGGGATTCGACCTCCTTTTATTTGTAAGGAGGCAAGGGCTGACATGTGGTCCCCAAGGGGCCAGAGATTCCCAAGGTGGTTAGTGTGGCTTAGAAGTGTGGGTTATGGTTTTCCTTGGAGCCTCTGTCCACCTTCTCTGCCAGCCAAGGTCCTATACTCTCAGCCTCCCAACCCAACCCCCAAGGAGCTGTGGGAGCTTTGTTCTCTATGAAACCCCAAAACAAGGGGTGTGACAGAGAAGAGAGAGTTCAGGGCAAACACCAGGACTGGACTTAGCTCCCTAGGTGCCACGGTCAGATGCCGGACACGGATTTATATATAAATATATATATAAATATATATATATATATACCCTCTCATCACGGCCATCTTTGTTGTAACCATTTCTGTGTTTATAAATGCATTATCTCTGAGAATTTTCATATTTGATGTTTTGTTTATTTTTGTCTTTTTTTCCTCTGCCCTGTCCTCTGGCCACGGCATTTTTATTTCTTTTTGTCTTTTTTTTTTAATCATGGCAGATTTCAGAGAAAAGGAAATTAAAAAAAAAAAATCAGGAAACCAGTTGTTATAAAGCAATTTAAAAATGAAAAAAAGAAAAATTATGTACAAACCAAGGGGTGTTTTTAGAACATTGTATAGAAATAAATTCATGTAAAAGGATGCGAGGCAGTGGAGCTACTGATGTGAGCGAGCATGGCGGAGACTATGGGGGAGATGTTCGAGGTCAGTGCTAAGGATTTACTCAGAGCGTGCGTGACAGATGAGTGCTTGTGCGATGAGCCTCCATGTGTGATTCCTTCACGTGAAGGGTACAATTCATTACCTAAGTGAAATCCTGGTTTATGAGGATTTCTACAAACATTGTCATGGGGCTTGCATTGCCTAAATACGTGAGAGCAAGGTTTCAGTTCTGTGGTAACAAAACGGCTAAGTTTCCTGTAGAAACAAATGGCAGCATGGCCTCTTGAAAGGAACTACACTCCTTCCTAAGCACCAGTGGAAGGGCCCTGTGCTAACTCTTCTGCAAGGTGTGTACGTTCACACATTCATTTTCCAGAGGTGTCCAGTGGTGGAAACCATGACCGGTGATGAGGTGCAGGGTTGATTGGCGATGCAGGACAGCCATAATAGCTGAGGAGCAGAATGTGATCAGGAAATGCGAACTTCAACCCTGGCTCTACCATTGACCAATGTTGGCCACGATGCTTCTTCAGCTGTTAAATGAAGGGGTTGGACTAGATAACTTCCAAGATAGCTTATTGAGAATTAAAAACCTCGCTTTAAACACTGAAAAAGTTGTGACCAAGCTCCCACGTCTGAGAACTGGTGGTTTACTTGGGACTGCTGGCCAACAGTGCTGCTTACATAGGACGTGGATAATTAAGTAATGCCCACTTAATTTGGGCCTGGATATCTTGTGGGCACCTGGAGATCATGTCTGAATATGTGGTGTGACAGCTATGAATTTATCACATATGACCAAATAAGCCAGTGCTTGTTGGCTCCCTGAATATTTACTGCTTGTTTCCTCCCACTCTAACCGTTTAAAAGGCCCCGACAGCCCTAACTTCATTACCAGTATTAGAATTAGAATCCATTCTTTTAAAGCTGTGGTCCCCAACCTCTGGGGCACAGACCCGTATGGTCTGTGAGCTATTCAGAACTGGGCCACGTAGCAGGAGGTTGAGCAGGGAGCTTCATTTGCATTTACAGCGGCAACCCATTGCACTGCCCATTGCTTGCATCACCGCACAAGCTCCGCCTGCTGTCAGATCAGCAGTTGCATTAGATTGTCAGAGGAGCCCGAACCCTACTATAAACTGCGCATGAGAGGGATCTAGGTTGCGTGCTCCTTATGAGAATCTAATGCCTGATCTGAGGTGGAGCTGAGGCGGTGATGCTAGGGCTGGGGAGCAGCTGCAAATGCAGATTATCATTAGCAGAGAGGTGTGACTGCACAATAAATATAATGCACTTGACTCACCCAGAAACCATCCCCCCCCGGAAAAATTGTTTTCCATGAAACCAGTCCCTGGTGCCAAAAAGCTTGGGGACCACTGTTTTAAAGGATACACTCACACTCATTGCAACAATCTATGAGGTAGTTATTGTACAGAAAAGGAAATAAGCATAGAGATTAAATTACTTATCCAAGGGCATGACTCTTAATTAGAGTGAAGTCTCCCAGATCTTATTGCTGTCTGTCTTACCACCTGCACACTAGTAAACCAGGGGTTTGACATTGCACTTCTTACCCTATTTGGTCTAAATTATGTAGCTGAAATTCTGTCTTCATATTAGAAATCTGCCATGTGGCATTGATAATTATTATGAAGGATGTGTGAGTTAGGGGTGGCAACTATCTCCAAGATACTATCTTACTTACACCACTATTAGGTTAGGGGCTTTGACTTCCATTTCCCTAGTGTTGTGTGTTCCCTAGCCTGTCATGCCCTTATTGCTTTCCATTCTGATGAAAAGCAGAGTTCACTGTACTATAGCTGACCAATGTGATGGCTGGCATCTAACTGGCCCAGTTGTGATACAGCTCCATGCCTCAATCCCTTCAGAACTGTGATACTAGCATCACGTATAAATTCAAAAAGGGAAACAAAAACATGAGATTTCCTCCTTAGACAGTGGCAAGAGGGCAAGGCCCGAGGTAATATTTTATATGTCAAAGTGTATTTGAGTGTAAAGGACAGGAGGCCTGATAAAAGCTGTGCAGAATTACAGCTTCATTGTAATCCTTTGCATTTATAAGTAGGAAATTTATAAATAATTAATGTCTCTCAAGTTAAAAATTATGTTGGGGAGATGGTGTTTGTGTGAGTGAATAGAAATGCGGAGGGTTTAAATCTCTCAAGGTCCAATACTTCCCAACTTCAAAGAAACTGCTATAGCTGCCTTAGAGAAAGTCCTGCTTCAGCTGGGACCTACTCTAATCATCAGCTTCATATTCTGAAAAAGAAGAAAAGAGTTCGGTTTTCTAGTTATTGAAAGGGGATATTTACGGATACAATCCTGAAGGAACAGTGTTCCCCCCATTACTACACATTCCCGATTTGGAGGGAAAAAAGTTTGCTAGAGAATGCAAAATGGCGACCCCAGTGACGTAATACTTGCCCCGGTCGCGTTCTGGGGCCTCTGTAAGGGCGGAAGCGGGCTACAGCCGCCTCGCTACGGACGATCGTAGCTACGCAGCAAAAGGAAAAGTTTCAGGGTCGGGCGGATGTGTCCTGGCGGGTAATTTACTAAGGGCGGAAGTTCTCTTTTTGAGGGCGGAAAGGCTTTAAGCCAAAAATAACTTCGGCTGCTGTCATGTTTCAGTCACTTCCGGGGCGGATCGGAAGTTGCTTTGTTTTGCTTCAAGATGGCTGCGGGGATGTATTTGGAACATTATCTGGACAGTAAGAGCAGGCTGGAGGAGGGGGTCAGGGGCCATAGAGTGGTGGGAGGATCAGGGCCGAGAGGATTTATGGCCCTGAAGTCCCGGTGACGAGAAGGTCACAATCGTGAACGGGTTCCGTGGGGTGAAATATCGGAGGGTGTGAAGAAAGAGGGGGCGGGGCAGCAGGATCGAGGCCTCGCTGTTGGGTGTAGACGAGGGAGGGGCTGCGCGGTGGGGTTGAGGGCTGTGTCTTGAAGGGCTAGGATGCATAGCCGGGAAAGACATTGCTAGCCTCCATTCTACAGGGTCTCCAGACCCAGGGCAGATTTTTTTCCCAAAGTCGTGCAGAATCGTATCACCCACTGCCATTTGGAGCAGCGGCAAAGACCTCTTTGAATCTCCTCCACTCAATTCTTCCTCAGAAGTGGCTTCTCGTGAGGTTGGGGGTGGTGATGGAGAGTGACCACTGTCACATGATGAGCCGGAACGCTTCCCTTCATGGAGTAAAGGTTCACTTCCCACCAAATGAAAATTTGGTGTTATGTTTATGCCATTTGAGTAATCCACCCCTTCACAAAGCCTATCGCCCTGTGCACTTCCATTTTTCTTAGAGTCTGGAGTCACTTATTCAACAAATTTTTACTGAGGTCCTGGTATGGGTCAGACATAAGAGCAGGCACTGGGGATGATAAAAAATGAGTAAGACACAGCCCATGCCCTCAATATGCTCACAGTCTAATAGGAAACAGATTATGCAATAAAACAGTATGACATGTGAAATAACGCATATATGTTAAAAGGATAGTTGGGAACACTGAAGAAAGAGGATAATTACCTAGAGATGTAGGTGAAGCTTTAAAGAGAAGGCAATGTTTTAATAGTGTCTTAAAGGTTATTTATTTGCCTGTGAGAAGAGAGGAAGGGAATTCCAGGTTGGGGAAAGCATCAGCAAATGTACTGTGATGGTTTTATGGCAAGGTCAAGGAAAAGTGAGGTCACAGTGTTTGATCTCTAAGGTGAGAGATTGGGAAGTGGGACTGGAGAGAGAGGCCGGGGCTAGATTGGACAAGGTTTTTTAAGCCAAGCTAGGAAGTTTGCATTTTAAAGTAGAGTATGATTTAGGTGGGGTTTTTGTTTTTGTTTTTAAGACACAGGATCTCACTCTGTTTCCTGGGCTAGAATGTAGTTGTGTCATCACAGCTCACTGCATTCTTGAACTCCTTGTCTCAAGCAATCCTCCCTCCTCAGCCTCCAAGTAGCTAGGACTACAGGTGTGCACTACCATTCCCCGCCAATTTTTTAAAATTATTTTTTGTAGAGACGTCTTGCTATTTTCCCCAGGCTGGTCTGGAACTCCTGGCCTGAAGCAGTCCTCCCACCTCAGCTTCCCAGGCCTGAGCCACTGTGCCTGGCCAAATGGGACTTTTATAAATGAAAATAACTGATGTTTGGTAAATTGGAGCGTGATAACATTGATAACAGGGAGATCAATTAATGATGACAGTCCAGGTCAGAGACGAGAACCTGATCTTAGGGAGTGACAGAGTATTCAGGAGTTAAATATGGTAGGACTGACTGAATGACTAAGTAGTTGAGAGAGGAAGAAGACTCTAAGGTGGATTCTTCCTTCTTGGAAAGTGGGATAGACTATACCATTGACAAGATAGGAAATTCAGGAGTAATAGCAACATATTTAATTCAGTTTAAACCTAATCATAGGAGTGGTAATTGTACACATCAAAGTGAATGAGATTGTTCAGGGAAAACCAGTAAAGTGAGAAACTGAGGGTACTAAAATGTAATCTCAAGAAAACATGAACATTTAAGGGACAGGGCAGGTGCAGTGGCTCACACCTGTAGTCCCAGCTACTTGGGAGGTTGAGGCAGGAAGATCACTGGAGGCCAGGAGTTCCAGACTGGCCTGGGCAACATTGTAAGACCTCATCTCTTCAAAAAAAATTTAAGGGAGCAGGCTAAGAAAATGTCAATGTTGTAGTTACCAGAAGATATATGATGAGATTTAGAATCCT